TTGAAAGAATCATATACTTTCATTGACTGTATTTCATCACTTTACCTTTTCTCAGCTTTTTTCAGTTTGGCTTTTGACCCTGTCACTTGACCAAAACTTTTTTCTTCCAGGTCAAGTTATCTTTGTTTGTTAAATCAGATGTTTTCTCAGTATTCATTCTGTTTTACCTCTTGGCAACTTTAGAGAAAATAAAGTATTCTAATAGTTACATAGATCAGGCACAACTGAAGGACTTTCCTAATCCTCTTCTTCATGAGCACTCTCTTTTAAAATTACACCATGTTACTTTATATTTAATAACTTGTATGCATGTTGTAACATAAGATCCTTGTTATTCATCTTGAGAAGGAGTAGTTGAAATAGTGACCAGAAATATGGTTGTAAAGTGAGGAACCTCTGGGTTCAAATCAAACCTAAGACAAATAATGAAATGTTATTTAACTTTTCAATAATTCCCACAACTCTCCAAGACTAAATTGTGGAGCAGGTGCCAATATGTATTAGTAGAAGGAATTTCCTCACTGGGAGAATCACAGGTCTCTTATTTTAATTCTTTCTATGTCTTTCTGTTTCACATGTGTTTCTTGTACACAACATATTATTGGATTCTGGTTTCTAATCCATTGTGCTATCCACTTGTTTTTATGGGTGAGGTCATCCCATTCAAATTCACAGTTATGATTACTAACTATGACTTTCCTTCCATCCAGTTTTCTTCTATTTATTCTTGTCTCTCTCTTTTTAGCCTACCCCTCCTCTAAAGTCTGTTTTGCTTCTTACCTCTGCCTTCTTTTATCTCTCCTCCCTTTTATCCCTTTCTCTCTCTCTCTCTCTCTCTCTCTCTCTCTCTCTCTCTCTCTCTCTCTCTCATTCTCTGTCTCTCTTTCTCTCTCTCTCCATATATACATACGTACACACATGCATTCCCTCTTTGAATCAATTTAAATGTGAAAGGTGTTCAAGCACTGCTCATCCCCCCACTATTTCCTGCACGTTCTTTCTATGTAGAATACATCTAAGCATTTTAACATCCTTGAGTCCCTTAATATTTTTCTTTCATGCTTACCTTTTTATGCTACTTTTAGGTTTTGTATTTAAAAGCCAAAATTTCTATTCAGCTCTGTTCTTTTCATTAGGTATACTTGAATTTCCTCTAGTTCATTAAATATCTATTTTTCCCTTGAAGAATTATACTCAGTTTTGCTCGGCAGGTTATCTTTGGTTGCAATTCTCTTTTGTCTTTCAGAACATCATATTCCAAGCCCTCTGCTACTTGTATATGGTAACTGCCAAATCTACTGTGATCCTGACTGTGGCTCTGCAATATTTGAATTGTTTCTTTCTTGTTTCTTGAAATATTTTCTCTTTTTCCTGGTACCTCTGGAATTTGGTCATAATATTCCTGGGAGTTTTCATTTTGGGATCTCTTTCAGTTGGTAATCAGTGGATTCTTTCAATTTCTATTTTATGCTCTGGTTCTAGGATATCAGGGCAGTTTTCTTGATAATTTTTTGCAATATGAGATCTATGGTCTGTTTTTTTCATGGCTTATGGATTTTCCACTAATTTTTTAAATTTAAATTAAATTTTATTTTTATTTCTATAACATGATACAATAAATGATGGTTGTACATGAAATTACAAATCAACTCTGTACAACTTGCTATTCCTTTCAAATATACAACAAAATTATCATATATATTTCTTTTTTTCTTCCCTTCCCTACCTAGAGATGGCTACCATTAGACACATATATGTATATATGTAAAATTATTCTATATATACTTCTATTTATCAGTTCTTTCTCTGGATACAGATGGCATTTTTCTTCATATGTCCTTTATAGTCTGCCTGGGTATTTGTAATAATCAAAATAACATTCATTCAAAATTGTTCTTGAAACAATATTGCTGGGGCAGCTAGGTGGTGCAGTGGATAGTGCACCAGTCCTGAAGTCAGGAGGACCTGAGTTCAAATCCGTCCTCAGACCAAACACTTGACACTTACTAGCTGTGTGACCCTGGGCAAGTCACTTAACCCCAATTGCCCTAAAAAAACCCCGAAAAACAAAACAATATTGCTGTTACTGTATACAGTTCACTTTGTTCTGCTCATTTTGTTCTTCATTATTTCATGCAAGTTTTTCCATGTATTTCTAAAATCATTTAGCTCATCATTTCTTATAGCACAGTAGTATTCTATCACAATCAAATACCACAACTAGTTCAGCCATTCCCTAATTGATGAGCAACCCTGCAATTTCCCATTCTTTGCCACCACAAAGAGAGCTGCCATAACATATTAGAACATACAGGTTCTTTTTCCTTTTTCTCTAATAATCTTTGGAAATAGACCAAGAAGTGGGATTATGGGGTCAATGGGTATAGGTAGTTTAATAACTTTTTGCCCATAATTCCAGATTGCCCTCCAAAAATGGTTGAATCAGTTCACAATTCTACCAACAACAAATTAGTGTCACAATTTTTCCATATCCCCTCCAACACTTATCACTTTCTCTTTCTATCATTTTAGCCAATCTGGTAGATGTAAAATGATATCTCAAGGTTGTTTTAATTTTAATTTCTCTATTAATGGTTTAAAGAATTTTTAAATGACTATAAATTCTTTCGATTTCTTCGTCAGAAAACTGCCTGGTCATATCCTTTGCCTATTTATCGATTGGGGAATGACTTGTGTTCTTATAGATTTGACAAAGTTCTTTATACCTTTATAAGATAAATTGCCTATAAATTGTTTCCCCAGTTTTCTGCTTTCCTTCTGATCTTAGTTACATTTGTTTTATTTGTACATTCCCTTTTTAATTTAATGCAATCAAAATTATCCATTTTATACCTAACTTTGCTCTCTGTCCCTTGTTTATTCATAAATTATTCACCTATCCATAAGTCTGATGAGCAATATGTTCCATGTTCTAATTTACTTGTAAAATCTCTCTTTATATCTAGATCATGTGTCCATTTTGACCTTATCTTGGTAAATGGTGTAAGATATTGGTCTATGCTCAGTTTCTGCCATACTGCTTTCCAGTTTTTCCAACAATTTTTACCAAATAATGAATTGTTATCTCAAAAGCTTGCCTACACTTGTCAAATATGAGGTTATTATATTTATTTGCTATTGTAAATTGCATGTCTGCTCTATTCCACTGTTCTAGCTCAGCAATTCTTAAATTAGTTCTTCCTGTTCTATTTTTTCAGGTCAGTTGTCTTTCCCATGAGATATATCACATTTTCTCCTATTTTTCATTCTTTTGACTTTGTTTTATTGTTTATTCTTGTGTTATGTATTCATTAGTTTTCATTTGCCCGCCTCTAATTTTTAAGGATTATTTTCATCAGGGAGCTTTTGTTCTTTTTTTCCATTTGGTCCATTCTGTTCTTATGGTGATATTTTCTTCAGTATTTGTTAAGCCTCTTTTACTAAGCTGTTAATTATCTTCTTATAATTTTCTTCTTTTGCTTTCATTTCTTTACTTAATCCTTTAACAATCTGATTTTGAAAATATGGTTTTTTTAAATTTTTTTAAAACTCTCCCAAGAATTCTTGTTGGGCTTGTGTCCAAATCATTTTTTTTTTCTTTGAGGCTTTCCTTGTAGCCGTTTGACTTCATTGTATTCTTCTGAGTTCATATCTTCATCTTTCCTGTCACCATAGTAGCTTTGTATAGTCAAGTTCTTATTTTTTGTTGTTGTTGTTTACTCATTTTCCCACCCTATATCTTGATCTGGATGTTAATGTTGGCCTTTGTTCCCAGCATGGGAGGGAGGAACACTTTCTCAGGTTTCAGGCTGTTTTTGCACAGTTGTTTTCAGTTCTAGTTCTGTTGAAAGTTTTCATTTATTTCAAATTAGTGTTATCTGGGGCGAGGTATGATTACTGTTCTCACTTGTTCTATACTCTGGTCTTTATCCAGGAAGTGCCCCTGATCTCTTAAGATTTGAATTATGTTGTTCCTCAGGATACCTCCTCCTTTGAGACCTGAAACAATAACTATTCCTAAAGGTCCCTGATTCCTTGGGGCCAGAAGTGATACTGATCTTCAGGACTCCACTTCCTCTTGAACAAAAGTGCTCTTCTCTACCCTGTAACTATGACCCAAAAGTGGGTATAGGCAATGGAGCTGCCCAACAGTATTTGATCCTGCATCCATTGCTATCACAGGGGTAACCTATAATCTCTTTCTGACCATTTGCCAGGTCCCCTTACCATCTTTGGTTTGAGAGTCCTCAAAGCTGCTACTGCTTCTGTATTAACCACCTAGTCCCACTACATATGTTTCATCCTCACCTGTGTTACACATTTCTCCTTCTGATCTCCTATGCTGTCTTGGGCTGGAAGAATGTCTCACTATATCCTTTTGTTGGCTCTGCCACTCTAAAATATAATTTAAGGACTTATTTTAAATGTTTTTTTTGGGGGGAGAGTAATGTTGGGAGAGCTTAAGTAAGTGCTTTCTCTACTCTTCCATCTTGGCTCTTCCTGAAGAAATATCTTAGCTATACGTTTCTAACTGAGGAATTATTAAATATCCATATGCAAGGAAAATATATATATATATATTAACATATATATTATATATGTAATCAGGTGTAGAAATCTACATTGATGCCAACATTGATTGAAGGTAACTAATAAGTGTGATGTTTATTTGCACATTGCAGTGGGAAGAGAAGGTCCAGTTCTAATTTTTATTAGTTCTTAAGTGATTCCAACTGCTCCAAGGACTTCCTTCATTGTCTTCTACTATTCAGCTTTTTTTTAAACCTTTCCATTACTCTTTTCCTCTTGTGTCCCAAATGTATGGAGGCATTAGAATTTCCTTCAGGTTAATAGATATTTAGGTAAAATTGTTTTTGTTATGTTGATGGTAATAAAGGAGGAACACATATCTCTTCTCTTTCTTTGAATTTGTTTTTAATCTCACTGTGTATATGAATATTATTTTTACATTGATTGTGATGCCTTTTTTCACTCCTTAGTGGATGGCTGTATTCACAGAGCAGCTGGTCCCTGTCTGGTTGCTGAATGCCGTAATCTGAGTGGCTGTGAGACTGGTCAAGCTAAGATCACCTGTGGGTATGACCTGCCAGCAAAATGTGAGTATTTGCATTGAAACATACTTTCATAAGTAGAGTAAAACTTTTAGCTTGTTCTGTTTTTCAGATACATCATTTTAAAAATAATGTCTTGTTTTTTAATTAATATATAACAAACCCTTTCAATTAACATTTTAAATTCAATTCTAAGTCTTACTTTTTTGTTACTTTTTCCCGTTTTTTACGTGAATGATCATTTTTGGTTACTAATAGAATTTCTCTGAAACTAGAAAATATAAGAATGTGAAGAAAATATATGCTAAAGTTTTTAAATGTCATGGAGATAGATTCAAGAAATTATGCCACTCTTTTATTTCTTAGATAGGTTTCTTGATTGTGGATATGTTTAGAGCTAGATCAAAGTGATGCATTGTGTTTTTAGCTGCCATGTAACTGCTGTTTGGCAATTACACTTTGCTTTCAGTAATGGCCAATGGAATGTGGTTATCAATGTTGGAGATGCTTAATCTTTGAACATAGAAAGGACAAAATTTCCATTACATTTAAATAGGTAAAAATAGCACTTTTTGGTCTTTTTGCTTAGTTGTTCAGCCAACTTGGAGGAAAATAAAATAATATAGCTTAAAATACAACTTTTTCATATGCCATTTTTTCTAGTTAGAGTGGAAATATAGTATTGCTTAAGAAATATGTTTCCTCATTTACATTATTAATGGTGAATGGGTCCCAGTTTATCATATTATTTCCTAGGATGATGTGTGTATGACACTTGACACATGTAATACACACATATACACACATATTTTTAAAGTAGAACTGTTCTCTGAATTTTGTAGAGATGAGGGTAGTGTGCAAAAAGTATTTCATATCTAAAATTGCTTGTTTGGCCCTATGTAGATAGTTTGCATGAAAAAAGTTGAAATTCTGTATGTGCCTGAGAGTGGCAGGTAGATACTTGATTAAATGCTGCAGGCATTTTAAAGTATGCTTGAGCTCAGGTGTTGTTGTTGACAAAATAGTCACGTACAATGATTTTACATAACGCTGCCATACTTCTGCCTACTACACTTCTTACCAAAATGTTAATGTGATGCTAATAATAGAATAAACAGGAAACTAATTGTCCTTGTAATAATCTCTTCTCTTTTCCATCTCCTTGCTGTCATATATTACTTTTTCTAGGTTGCATAAAATGTAGCATTTGCCATTCCATGGATTCCATATATAAAGGGATATCTAGGATAGCTCCTACTACCCTACTGTAGGTAGCTGTAATACAAGAAACCTATGATATGAATGTCAAACTTACTCTTCAACATTAAAGTTATACTGTGTATTGTGTGTATGTTTGTATACACACACACACATATATACTTAGACATTTACTAGCTGTGTGACATTGAGCAAATAATTTAGGATCTGTCTGCCTCAGTTTCCTTAACTGTAAAATGTGATAATCATAGTATATACCTTCAAGTGTTGTTCTGAGACTCAAATGAAATAATATTTGTAAACTTCCTAGTACAATGCCTGGCACATAGTAGGAACTTAGTGAATGCTTAGTGAATGAAAATTCTCCTCCTCTCTATGTATTTTATAGTTTTTCCATCAATTAACTTAATTTGACCCTTTTCTTTATTGTGTTCTTTATTGTGTTATTCTCAACAGATTGACTTGTTGCTTATTCTCAAAATTCACCACTGGTAATATTGCTAGAATTTAATGAAACAAAATTGAAAATAGGATTATTTCAGTTCTTTCAAGATCTCTCAAGAGTTTGGAGCTATGCCATGTTGATCTAAGTATAGTTGATCTAAAACTTTCCTGCATGGTTAACTGAACATCTATGCCAGTTTAGAGAGCCCTTTGAAATTGAGTAGTATTGATATCAATGCTTAATGCCTACTCAGGGTCTGATATAAAATATAGACAAAATAGAGATTTTGGATTCTCTTTTTAAGGGTATGGGACTAACTCCATTGTTTGAATGTCATGTTTTATATTTAAACTCTCTTCTTTTCATCAGGAATGCTTAAAAGTCCTCTATTAGATTAAATATCCATTTTCTACCTGTACGACTATACTCAGTTTTGCTGTGTACATTATTCTTCATTGTAATCTTTGGTCTTTTGCCTTCTGGAATAGCATATTCCATTTTTATATTTCTTTGTAGTGGTGGCTCAACCTTACTTGGCATCTTTTTTCTTTTCTGTTTGTAGTACTTTTTCCATGACCTGGGAGTTCTGGATTTTGGCTATATTAGTGGAAGTTGGTCTGTTTGGGTTTTTTTTAGGGGGGTTTTGGGTCATGTCTTTCAGGAGGTGAATAATGAATACTTTCAACTTCTACTTTGCCCTGTAGTCCCAAGATATATGAGTAGTTTTTCTTTCTAATTTCTTGAAATATTGTATATAGGTTCTTTTTATGGCTTTCAGGTAGGCCAGTGTTTTTCAAACTATCTCTTCTTGATCTGTTTTCAAGGGCAGTTCTTTTTTCCTGTGAGATATTTCATATTTTCTTCTTCTTCTTCATTCTTCTGATTTTGTATTTCTTGATGGTTCATGCAGTTACTAGCTTACATCTGGCCATTCTAAATTAATTTTTAAGGTGTTATTTTCTTCAGTAAGGCTTTATAACTCTTTTCCCAAACTGTTAATTATTTTTCATAATTTTCTTGGTTAGCTAATTTGCTCCTCATTTTTTCCCCTTTATTGCTCTTATTTGGTTTTTAAAAGCACTTTTGGCTCCTTTAAAAATCTATTTCTTCAACTCTTGCTTAACTCTTCTAGGAATTCTTGTTGGAATTGTGTCCAATCTACATTTTTCTTTGAGGTATTGCTTATAGATGTTTTCAAGCCACTGTTTTCTTCTGTGTTTGTGTCTTCAGCTTCCCTGTCACAATAGTAACTCTTTATGGTCACATTCTTTTTTGTTTGTTTGTTTAGTCATTCTTCCAGACTAATTCTTGACTTTTTACTTTTTCTTAGTGGTATACTTGGCTTACTTCTAGAGGAATGTCTGGTCTGAGCTTGTGATGCTTTCAGAGTTCAGTCTATGGACATGCAAGTTTTTAGTGATTCCAAAGTGGTATGATCTAGGGAGAGATCAGTTCCACAGCCCATTTGATCTGAATTCTCCAAGTTCCTGATCTAGATATGGGTCTGTTGGCTTGTGTGCCATTTTGATTCGGTAGATTGTTACTGGACCTAGTCTCTGTGAATCCATTGTGAGGTTCTGTAGGTTCAGAGTCACTGAGGTTCTGGCTCCTCTTTGGTTTTGTTCTTCAGCTATGACTTCTACTTCAGGCTTGTGTACTGGACCAACTGAGTAACTATATTGCTTCTGTGCTTACAACCACACAGCTAAGTTTCTGGAATTTGTTTTGTGCTTAGAACTCAGCTAAAATCCCGTGTTCCTTCAGAGTCACTCATCTCATCCCTGTATCTGTGACCTGGAAATGAGTAATGGGTAACAGATCTGCCAGGTGGCACCATTGTTCCTCCTCATTGCAGTTTAAGAGTCCCCTGAGATTTTCTGCCCTTGATCTTCTATCTAAGCTCCTTTTCCTTCCCTAGGTACTGGAATGCTCTTTATTCTGTAGCCACTGCCCCCAGCACCATGCTAAGCTTTTAGCTAGCTCTCAGCCCAGTGTCTACTGACCTGTTGTCTTCCTAACATGCCTTGGGATGGAAAAATGACTTATTATGAGCTTTTCTTGGACTTTCTTATCAGAATTAGGTTGGTACATTTTCTAGGTCGTTATGGAGAAGCCATATTAGGAAGGCTTAGCAAAAATGTTGACTTTCACTTCACTGTCTTGACTATATCCAATCATATTTAAATATTTAAAAATACACACACACACACATGCACACATGTTTGTGTATGAGTGCATAAATATACATTCATATATATGTATAACCTTTGTACTTGCACGACTTCATATCAGGTCATGACACACCTTTTAGTAAATAAATGAGGCATCCATTTGAATGTGAAATTATAAGGCTTGAATTCTCTTCCATTAAAATAATAGATTAGCTTTTTCTTGACAAAGATAGAGTATTCAGTATTCTTCTAAATGCTACTCATTAAGGGAACCAATACTAATATACACATACATATATCTTCCATCTAAATAGCACATTTTCTTACATTTTATAGCACCTTTCCTCAATACTAATATATGTGTGTATATCTGTACCCTCAATCAATATAGCACATATATAACACCTCATTGTTTTCCAATTTATTCCCCATATACATATATTATAAACAAAAATTACAAATGTGTTCTTTTTATCAATGAAAATGTTAAAGATATTTTAATTTCTTATACATTTAATTCATTCACTTGAGAATCATTAATAATCTATCCATGTGCTTGTGTAGTGACAGAAGAAATAGAGGGCTCATTACATATTGTTTAGGTCATTTCCCCTCTACATTGAATAATTTGATAACAGTTTGACAGTAGAGACTATCTCCAATTTGGCCTCAGTGACAGTTGCTTTCCCATAATAGGAGTACTAAAGTCAGTCATCCAGCTACAAGTGATAATATCTTCATACATCAGCAATTGGTTTGGAAGATGATATTGCCTGGGTTACAGATTGGCTTGGCAAAATTATAGTGGTCTTTGCCCTTTTTATAACTGCTAAATTAATCTGCTCATAATTGGATTTTGTTTTAATAATTATCCTTGTAGTCTGTGTTCAGTGATTCATCATGATTAACAAAATGACAAGCCCCAAGTAGTTGTCTGTTTTTCAATATTTTAATTGTTCATTTTGCACAAAATCATCTAGCCATTATTTTCACAGTCTTAAGAATTGAAAGAATGTTTGCCAATACCCCACTGAAGTTATATGACCAACAGAATGATTTTTAGATTATTTATAAAGGAGATGAAATTTTATTTATATATCTAAAAATATTTTGTGGAATCTCCTATTTATAATACTAGCATTTTTCTACCCTCCAATTATTATATTAGAGATTGTCTTAGTTTTAAGGAGAATGTTTACCAGCAACATAAT